TAGTGTTGACATGTTTCAACAAAAATGATCTATTAGTGATAAAAATGACTTTTATGGGTCTAAAAAGTTGTCAAAAATATAATAATAAGCTTTTTTAACAAAAAATTATAAAATAATTATATAATGCAAGCAGGTAATTGAAATAAAAAACACCTGGAACAGAAGTCCCCAGGGCAACGAAGGATATGGCGGTAACAGCATCTTTAAGACCAACCCAACAACCAAAATGTGATGCTAAATCCCCAATCACCGCGGTCAAAATACCAATAGAAATAATGGATACTACAAAGCATACCCAACCTCCCCAGTAATCTGAAAAGTTACTCACTCAAATATTAAAAAATATCTAACCATGAAAGTTATTTGTAAGTAACTTCAAAAAAAGAATTTTTCGGATGTATTAACAAAGAAGCGATGAAGTTTTGGAAGCATGTTAACCTGAGGGTGGTATTGTGGCAAAGAGCAGTTTCCACGGAACCGACAAAAAATGCATGAAGTAATCACAGAAAGTTGGCTTCACAGATTTCTTTTTCATTTCATCTGATGATGAGTCAGTTACTCCTTCGTCTTCTGCTGCTTCAGAATCATCTTCATTACCTATAAAATCTATTTTCCTCTACGTCTAAAACCATGTGCTCTAATGTATGTGCAACATATATGTTGTAATATTTCAATGATAAAAAATGATGATTAATTACAGATACTTGCATGTAATACATACTAGCATGTACAGTTAAAGCATCAATGAACTGTTCACGCCAACTTGTAGTACCAAGTGTAAATGACGCATTTGCAGTATGCAACATTCGATCTATCACACTCTAAAAATATTTCTTTAAAACGATATAAAGATAATAATAATAATAATAATAATAATAATAATAATAATAATAATAATACTAATACATATAATAAAGTTGTGTGCTAGTTATACTATTTATATTGAAACACAACAAAGTAATTCACAATTAATCAGTAAAGGAATAATTAACCTGAAATTCCTTGCTTTCTTTAATAGTAATCTGACATTTTTTAAAGTTCCCTAGCCGAGGCTTTCCAAGTTCAGCAATTTCAAGTTCTTCTCGAGTCAGTGCAGATCCAGGTACTCGTCGTTCCTCGTTATCTGAAAGTTTTTTACATTGTATCCTAATTACTAAACTTCCACGTCGTTAAATAGAATGAAAGCAAATTGAGCAATTCAGTATGTTCAAATTTGAGATAAAATTGTTATTAATATTTTTTACTTAAATATTAATTAAAACAGAAATATGTAATTTGGATGAAGTAAAATATGAAAATTATGATAATAATAGAGATGGCAATATAAGCATAAATGAAAGCATGTATGCAAATTTAGTAATAATACAGAAAGATGACATAATAATATATCATTTAGTACAAAAAATCACAATATACGAATTGCATGCAATGTATTTTACATATTTTTCATATTTTGTTACTGCAAAAATTGTATAACAATTTTAAATTATAATATTATTAGTAAAGAAGTTTTCTGATTAAGTACATT